TACCCCTACCCCTCCAAGCAAAAGAGAATTGAGACACCCCTACCCCTTCACATGAACGTGCGAAACAGAGGGGTAGGGGATAGGGGAAGGGCTAAGGGGTAGATTTGAGATTGGGCCTAACTAACATTGACAAATGGAACCATATTGTAAAGTGTTACCAATAAATGTTATAATTAGTAGGAATAATAATCATAATATTTTTTGTTCCAACTCTGTAATCTGACTGAATAAGTCTATGGGAGAAAAATCTAAATGAATGAATGAATGAATGAGGAATTAATTAATAATAAATTTAAATGCTATATTAATAAATATATGCTATATTGGTTATCAGGCGATATTAGAGATTTTGAACATAATATATAATTTATTATATAATAACAAAATAATTACCAGCTTATCGCATTTACCAGAATTTTCCCTATCAGTCAGAATCTGTGACCAGCCTCACTGCTGTCTAACCTGCTTTTTAGTGAATTTATTATTCTGAAGAAAAGAGGATGGAGGAAGAGAAAACCAGGAAGAAAAAAAAAATCTGTAGTAAACCAGAGGGTTAGCTGAGTGGTTATACATTAAATTCATATAGGACAATGACTGTATAAAAAAATAGGACAGGGGAAGTGAGATTTATCTTGTTCAGATAAGTGCCAGACTGTAAGTAGGAGACCTTTTGGCTAGTAAAAGGATAGAAATTATGTGATAAATTAGTCATTCCTCATCAGAAGAAAGATGAGAGAAAGCTTTGTGTTTTAAAAGTGAAATAAAGAGAGGGAGTCAGTCCTCACTAACAGTTTCCTCCCCTCTGGGAATCATGTGATGACTGCTGATGTATCGGCTATACTACAGTCTGACAGGTTTCAATGCAGTCTTCACATAATTCATATATCAATTATAGGCTGCCTCAACAGAGCCCATTAATCCGAATGCACCCGTCAATCAATGCTTCCATATTCTTAACAGAAAATGACTTGAGCTGTAATGAGACTTCATATTAACAAAGACACATCCAACATCCAAGTCTTTTATCCGTGTGTGCACCAAATCAGTTTATTTGTCTAGGAATTTTGTCACAGAGAGACAAATATGCACGATTAATCACTTATAAAATGACACACAGAAAAGCTGGAGATATAAATATCTGCCTTGTCCCACTTTCTGCCTGGTTAAAAATATCATCAAACAATGTCTAATACATCTCAGAGGCACAGACTGTTTCCAGGATGTGCCTTTGTTACTATATTGCTATCGTAGGGAGCGTTTGCTCATTGTTCATGCAATGCAGCATTGAAAACATTGCACAAAAAAAAACTCAAAATGAATGTGCAAACTTGCAAAGTGTGAGTACACAGTGTATATACATATATTATTGTGCTGAACCTCTGTCCGCACACACAGAAACTGGCCTGGAATAAGGAAGACCATTAGTAACTGGAGATAAACGGAGGAGGACGACGCTTCACTAATCAGGGGCTCAAGAGGGTAATTAAAGTGGGGCATGTATCCCAAGCAGGAATTCTGCTCTATTTCTACATCAGTGCAGTGTGACATGTAACCAGTCTCGTGTAAAAGATGATGATTGATAGTGGGGACTAACTAATGGCAGCGACACTAATATGAAAAAATACAAAAATGAAAGTAATTTACCGTTTCAAACCTATATGACTTACTTTCTTCTGTGGAACATAAAAGAAAATGTCTCAGTGTTGTTTGTCCATAAAATAAAAGAGTTATTTTGTACCCCACTGACTTTCACTGAATGGACAGAAACAGCTGAAACGTTCTTCAAAATATCTTTTGTCTTCCATAGAATGGCGTATGGGTGAGTAAAAAAATGGCAATTTTAGTTTTTGGGTGAAATGTCCCTTTAAAGCGATTCTTTTCAATGAATGCTAATGTTGAAAACAGGTTCAAGCAAGATTTTAGGTTATATTTGTTTGTCCAAACTGTTGTCATTCATCATACAAAAACTTTGCAAGCCATATGGGTTTGGAACAACACTAGGGTGAGTAAATGATGGCAATTTTCATTTTTGGGTGAACCATCCTTTTACATTTCTGACAGCAGTTCAGCTGTTTCCAAAATAGTGTTTTTCCAGTCACTTTTTCCAGAATTTAACGATGCAGTATAACAAAACTTTACATCGTTTTTAATAAAACACTGAATTGTGAATGAAACTTTACAGCCGAACAAGTTGAGACAAAAATCAAATGCTCTTATTTAAATGAACTGAAAAATAACAACAATAACACATTTAAAAAAATATGACTGGACAATTTACACTGGTCGGCAGGCAAAACAGCAAAGTACACTCTAATAGCCCACAAAAAGACATTTTGGGACCTAAACATGAAATAATGGCTGTAGGGCAAAAAGTGCTGGCATTGCAAACTGTGAGAAGTAACTGAGGCCAGTGAGATGTGATGATGAGTTGGTATAATGCTGAGATGAGTGCTTTGCTAAATGGACTCACAGGCACTTTGAAGGGTGAGGAGTTGGGGCCATCCATGGGAATGTTCTTCTCCGAGCTGCCCAGCCCCGATATGCTCCTCCGCCTAGGAGAGCGCTCCGCAGACGCTTCCGCTGTGAGAGAAGAGAGGAAAGCAGGGATTAGATAAGAGGAAGCCTTCAGAGAGACTGGGAGGATGTCTTTAAATGTTTTAATAGGCACACTAATGATCAGAGAACTACAGATATTTAAAACATTGAGTTGGAAAGCTGTAATACAGCGGTTGTCGACTGTGGAAAACTTCCAGGAAGGAGTTTGAAGTCACTGATGAATTACTCATACTGCAGACACAGGAATCTTTCTACCTGGAATCAACATTTGTGCCAAACATTATTAGTACTACTGTGGCTGTACTAATTTAGAAATGATGGCTGACACAATCAATTATATAAGCCAATCAGAATGCAACAGTGCAGTGGTGTATGTTCAACTGCATGGCTATTATGTGGTTTTATGCCTGCATTAGTTGCAAATTTCATTCTGAATTGTTATAAAGTTTCTATTTATATATTAAAGTTAATAATATATTTGCAAGTTTGGGGCCAGTAAGATTAAAAAAAAAAAATGTAATAACATAAATAAAAATAATAATAACAAAAATAATAATAATAAAAAAAATAATGCATTAAATTGATCAAAAGTGATGGTAAAGACATTGTTACGGATGTAACAAAATATTTCATTTTCAAATAAATGCAGTTTCAAATATACTTTCTATTCATAAAAGATGAATACAAAAAAATTATCAATGTTTACACAAAAATATTAAGCAGCACTGTTTTGAACATTGATATCAATAAAAAGGAACGTTTCTTGAGTACCAAATCAACATATTAGAATGATTTCTGAAAGATCATGTGACACTGAAGACTGGAGAAATGGCTGCTGAAAATTCAGTTTTGCCATCACAGGAATAAATTACTTTTTAAAATACATTAAAATATGAAACTGATATGAAATATGAAATTTGAATAATATTTCAAAATATTACAGTTTTTACCGTTTTTTTAATCAATTAAATGTAGCCTTAGTGAACTTAAGAGAGTTTTTTTTAAAACCATTACAAAATCTTACAGACCCCAAACTTTTCTAATAAAAAATATATATAAAAATAAAATTGAGGATGCACAAGAAATTTATTTTATGAGCATCCCTAATTATGATGTTTGTAGGTGCATCTTCCTTTGCCTCCCACATTTTTTTTAAAACTGTCCCCATACTCATGATTGATCCTCTTGACCAATCTTAAATGTAGTCTGGGGTCTAATAAAGTCACCTGCCCTCTGTAAATCTATCTCTCCTATAATGATGCCCAGCAGGTCACTAACAGAGCTCAGGTCTGGCTAAAGTGCCAGTCAGACAGGTTTAAAAGAATGAATTAACCCAAAGCTTTCAGTAAGTCCTCTTAATAAAGCACTCATCCATCCACTCGTGAACGCTCACTCTACCTGCCACCACCAGACTTTCAGATGGGTGCCCTGTGGCTCTCATATACAGCCACTCTCAGAAGCTAAGTGGAATATTACTCATTTTGCTTTCATAGCCAAGTTTATTTTTAATTTCCTCAGACCGATTTATTCTGCATTTGCAGGGAGCCCCGCAGTCGATGTGTGTCAAGGATGGAGCAGGACGTAACCTACATCCGCACAGCCTCCCAGAGATCCACTCCTTGGGCCGTCCTCCTCACTGAAGTGTAGATCACCCCATAATGAGTTAATTCACCCTGAGAAATAAAAACCCAGTCCATCACTGAGCACGAACTGCCGCAGAACTCCCGCCTCACAGCATCTGCACTGAATCAAGAAACACTGTTGAAATTGACCCAGAGGTCTTTGGCCAAGACGCTGCTTCTTGTTTCAGCTTGCAGGCCACAGTGGATCCATACAATAGAGATTGTGCCTGGTCCGCTGGAGAGCTGCCCACCGCTGCTCAAGATCAAACCCTCGGCTCACAATGAAAAGCTTAAGACATAGTTCACCCAAAAATTCCAAACCTGTACGACTGACTTGCTTCTGTACAATACAAAAGAAGATATTTTAAAGAACTGTTTTTTTGTCAATGAAACACAATGGGGTCCAAAACAACATCACACCCCTTTTAACTTTTATTCTACAGAGAATTTATTTTTTCAATATATCTGTTTCACAAATACAAGAAAGTTGTTCAAGTTTGGAACAACATGAGGGTGAGTAAATGCTGCAAGAATTTTTATTTTTAGGTAAACTATTGATTTAATATCTCATACACACACACACACAACAAACCTCTCATCAAATAAACGGGACGTCGTAATGTCTCTTAAACTACGCATCAGTCATGCTCGCATTTGGCCAATCTCCAGAGGACCATTGATTAATGGCTAAATTTAGCCGTTCAACCTGTTTTGCAGCTCAGGAGTGGCCCAGTCAAGTTCTGTTCAGACCATCCGTCTACGTAAGATTTCAAGATGCGTAAAATACATCAGTTTTCTAAAATACACTCTTAAAAAATAAGGTTCTTTATTGGCATTGATGGTTCCATGAAGAACCTATAACATCCATGGAACTTTTCCATTGCACAAAATGTTACTTAGAAAAAAGCTTCTTCAGATTATTAAAATATTCTTCACATTAAGAAACAAATGGTTCTTTTAAAAATTGTTCACAGAAATTTCTTTTGGGAATAAAAATGGTTCTTCTGCTGCATCGCTACCAAACCCCCTTTTGTAACCTTTATTTTTAAGAGTGCATATGCGATTACATTTGTATGAAAATGCATGAGATCAGAACTCTGCTTTACAAGAACAGCAACTTTACGTTTTCTTGTTGTATCATCGAGCTCCTCGGATCAAACTCTTACATACATCACTCACACTCTCTGTGAAGTTGCTACCTGTGCGAGGGCTCTGCAGTGCTGAACTTGACGAATCGCAGTGATCCCTATGACTAAGCAAAGCAGTACTTATATTACAATCTTGATGCTAGCAACACAGAGATCGTGGGGTCAGTTCCCAGGGAATGCATGTTGTGATAAAACATAAAGCTTGAACGCACTTTACATCACTTTGGATAAAAGCTAAATGCATAAATGTGAGTAAACGAAAACCAAGAGCAGCAAAACACCCCCTCACTTCGCTTCTGAAAATGCACGGACAACTTATCAAACAGGAAATGACTTGTAACAGCATATTCAACTCAACTTCAATCATTATAGATTTTTTAATGACCCTCCAAGTCTGAGAGCAAGACGATAACTTCATCTATTAAGTTAATCTAATAAAATGTAGCTGAGAAAAAGGAAGAGAGATACCTCTATCACAGCTGTTGCCCATCACCTGCTGAATAAATGGAGCTGGTCACCATTGGATTGGCTGAAGAGTGACCATCACCCTCGTCCAATGAGCTTGAGCGCTTTCCCTTTAATTGTCCATCACTCTGAGAGAGATTCCGTCGCAATGATAAACTGCAGCCTCTTCATTGTCTTGCCGTGGCTCGCTGCCACATCGTACCGTCTTCCTCTCTCTCTGTACCAGCACTCCAGAACTCTCCCTCAAAAACTGAAACGTCCTCTGCTAAACCTCTCTCTCCCGTCTCAGTCCATCCTCTTCTCTCAATCCTAGTCCTCACTTTATCAGCCTCTTCCCTTTCTCTTTTTTGGCACACCAGCGGAAGAGATTTTACCGCATTTACTCAATCAATCGCTGTAACCTCACTCCTCTGTTCCTCTCAGCAGAACTGCAAGCACTTCCCATCTCTCTCTCTCTCTTTCTCTCTTCGTTCGCTCATTCCCCCCCCTCCTCAGCGCATCTGGCTCCGTCTGCCTGCTGCAGCCTTGCAAATTAGGAAAAACGAAGAGGCGCTCTTTGCCTCGAGACTTTTGTTTTCGTACTTCATGTGGGACACGGCTCTGGAGGCTGTGAATGCGTGTCATTTGTGTGAGTAACGTGTGTTATGGAGGTCGATAAACAATGGAGAAGTAAACGAATAGAGAGGAAACACAAGCGTGTATCAGATTACACTAGCTGCTGTAAGGTCAAAGCATGTTAGAGCTATTAGCTGGACGTGACCTACTGAAATATGACAGAACTGAAGGAGTATGGTGCACGACTTCATGTGCTATATTTAGCATGTCCTTCAAAATCCTTATTGAATCTAATAAAGCAATATCAGATGCTATCAGGAGACTGGGATCAGAAAATGACCCAAGCCAGACTCAAACTTAGACTGCCCACATTAGTCAACTCAAGGTGCTGGAGTGTGTATACTAACTCCTAGGCCACAGCTACAACGTAAAGTAATTGAGTTAATTTATGTTCCCCAAAGGAATTGCAAAAAAAAAATAAAATAAATAAAAATAATTAAATTTTTTAAAATAATAATAAAAAAAATTATATAAATAAATAAATAGGAAGCAAGCACTGATATCTTGTAAAATGTACAAATTAGTGTTTTAAATGCGTCATACTGCAATAAATGTCATGGTGAATAAATGACCTTGTAATGTTCTCTTCGTTGTCACCTGTTGGGACTGCAGATGGTAAATAATAAATCAATAATAAAACAGTAAGATTTTTAATGCCTTTGATTTAACTTATTTTAAAAAATTCTTACTGACCTTTTTGAGCACAAGTGTAAACAAACAAATCAATCAATATATTAAAATAGTCTTAAACATTTAATAAAAATGTTCTGTTAACACTGTCAGTTTGACAGACTTAAAAAATACATTTTGTATTAATTCACTTTTTTTTTTGACTTGGGCCTGTAAGCAACCACCCATAACACCCTACTAAAATGTTGTTAAAAAAAAAAAAAAAGGTAAAAAATGTAATAAATAATAAATAAATAAATAAAATACAATTATTAAAAAATTCCCCTATTGATAAATTTTAGAACAAAAAATTGCACTGTTTACCAATGCAAATACAGACTACCTCAGAACACAAGGCTGTATGAATCTTTGTACACTGAGTTAGTTAAAAAAAAAAACCACACGAGACACAGGCAGTGTGGACAAACCAGCTATTCTCAGTGACTACACTTTCATTTAGTTCCCTTAAATCACAGCTATTACATCACACCTAGAATTATTCCTG